TCGAATCGAATCGAATTACTTCACACGCTCTAACCTTCTTGGCATAAATCGGAACATTTTCGAGATACATATCGTAAAATATGATCAAATTCCATAAATGTCGAACGTTTTCATCACGAGATTTAGTTGAGACCAAAATGCGAGACATGAAAATCGAGAGAAATGTTCAACTTGAAGGAATAGACAGAATTTAATGTGTTTTGTTAAAATACAAGAAGATTAAAAACAATTGTTTATTTACAAAAAAACTGAAAGTTTGGATGAAGTTTCTCATTCTGTTGTGTGGTATTGTACATGAAAGTGTCAAAACAGAACCACTCGATTTTGTAAACATTTTTACACTTATATAAAAGGGAGAAGTTGTGTCGGTAAAGGATTAAACTTTTTAGTGATATATGTTGGTACATTTTATTATTACAGTCCGTCATTATATCCAGAAATGTTTGAGAAACGTCTTTTTTGATTTTAATTCACGAGACTAAAAGATTGATAATTTTCTATCCTTACGTTTACCATAAGCTCTGCCGAATTTTCTTTTCACATTTATGATTGTTTGCATTTGTTTACAGTTTGCACCTTAAATATCAATAATATTTGATAATATTTGTAAAGTCGTTGCTTTTATACTAAATTTGACGGATTATTCTGTCTACCTGATCAATACACGAGGCTCACGGTGGATGTGACCAACCGACAGGGATGCTTTCCTCTCCTGGACACCTAATCTTCTGGAATTTTCAGAGATCCTTGTTTTTCTGCCCTGTTCACAGATTTATATTCTCTGTAGTTTTTTTTTTTTAGATCTATAACTGTGATATCATTGAACACCACATAGGAAGAAGGAGTAATAAGTTTTTTAAACTGGTGCCCAATCCCATTGTACTTAATGAATTTCAATAACAACATAATTTTATTTCTCCATATAATGAACGATAACTATTTGAGGGGCATTTTACACATTAAAATAAAGAAAACAAAAGCTCGGCTTTTACAAGATCAAAATTATGCAGTTGTAATACTTTTAACTTAAGCATGGATTTTTAACAGAGTGTGAAAATGGAACTAAGGAAAAAGGCGTCAACTAAATTAGATCACCCCAACACTTAATTAAATATACCAGGATAGCCTCCCTCTACAATTCAGGATGTATACAGAAGGAAGGCCACATTACCACTATAAGAATAAAGGTTCCTATTATTACTTGTTCAATAATTACAAATAATTAACATATCGAACATTTCTATAAATACATACTCAACGATAAAGAAAACAACATCTGGATTTTTTCTCTGTGATGAATTAAATGCAGTCGGTACAAGCAAATACGTTTTTTTTGGTTGCATTACCATTAAATAATCGGTGAAGTACAGGTCTTTAAAATGTCCGTTGACTTTATTTAGATGCCTAGATCTTGAATCTAGAAACGTTTACAGACTTTGACACTGAAGATAAAGTCACATGTAAGATCAAACCAAAAATCTATAAACAACAAGAACACTTACCTGAGCGCAGCAAAATTTGGAATTCCTACTGTTATTTTTGTTCAAGATTTCAAAATTGCTTTCAATGTAAATGTTACAATGTTTTCATGTCAAGAATCTACATGTATTTTGTGTCTAAGGAACAGCAACGGTTTTCACCAAATGTTTTTTTTTCCTGGGTGTTGACTTTTATCTATGTATCTATTGAATTGATATGATATCCATATCTTTTTATTTCTCACAACTTGCTTGATTCTTCAACTAGTCTTTAAAAAGTATATTTAAAAACAGTTATAGATGAATCTGGTTTAGTGGATTGTAGAAAGAATGCTTCAGGATTACCCATTTTATTCATTTTTGAATGTTTTTCCTTGATTTTCAACAGCTATTAAAAATAGAGTCCATCCTTTTTACTAGAATGAGTTGCTCCATTCCCGAAGAAGACACGGAAAATTAAAAAGTTTAAAACAAGAGAAAGACAGACAGACAAGGAATAAAATACATGTACTTTGAAAACAGTAAAGTTCTAAGTATATAGTTATAAAAACCACACATTTAAGAAAAAGAAAAAGAATTGTACATCGCTGTTCAGGCTACCGCTGATTAGAATTAGAAGACTTCAGTTTCAACGTACCACGTATATCTTTTCTTTAAAAAAATCTTGAACTTAAGATTTCACCCTTCAGTTTATATACATGTAAATTATTGTAAAATATAATTATGAACCCAGAGGTGACATGATACAAAGTAACCCACTTAGAGGGTTATTTCAATTCATCGAAAAATGCCAATAGCCAATATATGGAAAAAACTACTTTGAACAAATATAAATTCCATTAAACATTTTCATATGTCATATTTTATTTGAAAAATCTCATTGGAAGGAGACATTGTTATTTTTACCAAACCATTAGATTTATAGTGTTGCCATCTAAACTGGTTTATTCTAAATGCCCTTTTACTTCACTTGTGAAAACTCTTTGTGCATTGCATTTGATGCAAAATTAAGTTCGCTAAAAATGATAAAAGATGATTGCGATGGTGTTACATGAAATGTGAAGATAACAAACACCACTTAAAGTTAAACAATACAAATTGGGAATAGAGCAAGTACATACAGACCAGGTGGAACAGGTGATCAGGTGCCATGGAGGTGTACGCATCCCTGTCGACTGCTGGTCACGCTCGCCGTGAGCCCTTTATCTTGATCGGATAAAGGAAGCAATCCGTGGAAATTTAGTATGAAAAGAATGGATTAATTTGTAGTAACAATGTTTGTCAGCATTCGACTTACCGACAAGTTGTATTTACAAATATTATACTTTCAAGTAAATTACTTGGACTTGATTCGTCGAGAAACATTTGTTAAAAACATTGTTACCCTCTAAATGACGAAACCGAAACCTGCAGTGTGATAGAACTTAGCAACAGTCAACATCGCTTGACGACGGGAGATACCCTCCCCCACCCTCCCAAAAAAGTATGTTGACTGGGCGTAATTTATGTGCGCGCGGATCACCTTTATTAGCATTTATATTCGAGTAAAACATCTATAAAAATTGAATTAACATTCAGAATGATTTAATAAATACTGCATGTATATAAATGTCGAACTAGAGACCACAGCAAAAAAACTTCGTTTCATGCAGAAGTTTTTGAATATTCTGCTTCATAAGAATACAAAAGCAGGTCGACTAATCAAGGGGTACAATATTGTTGGAAGACTAGGTCTCCAAATTCTACATTAATATTCTTAATCATAATTTCCAGCATCTTCTTAATATCTAATTCAAAGTACATGTTAAAAGAATAAGAATGTTTAAAAAAAAAAAATCTAATGGTGGACTAATCACAAGTATATATATATATATATATATATATATATATATATATATATATATATATATATATATATATATATATATATATATATATATATATATTGTAAAAATGCAATACATTGTAAATAAAGTGTGTGAAAATTGATTTGAACCACATTTATGAAAAGAAAATTATAGACTCTTTCTTTACTGGGATGAAAATTTGACTTTTGACTAAAAGGGATGTCTGAAAAACAAACTTTCTGCAACTCGGATGACCGTTTTCCGTGGATCTTTCTATTAAATTTCATTCACGTGAATTCATAAATTCACGGGTTTGTTTCACGATTATGATGAAATCATTAATGTAAATCGTGAAATCAAGCACACGATACACAATTTAAAAATAACCTTTCATGGAACCCTGCTTTATTGTAATTACTGCACTAAAATTGCTGGATAAAATGTATGGAAATGTCTTAAATGTGGAATATTATACAATTATTAATAACTTAAAGTTATATTTATGAAACACAAAGCTTCATGATTAAGATAAACGAATATTTTTCGTACTACAAAAATGTTCTGCAGGTATTCTAAAAATGTAGTGGCATGTTTTCGAAATGTTTGAATGGTTCTATTGGAAGAAATCCTGTGCGACACAACCATTCCTGTTCCCGAGGAAACTTTGTAATACGAATATTGTAAAAATGACTTTTGAGAATTGATAGATAGGAAAAAGAGTTCATTTATCAGTGAATTTTCAATTTATGAATATGTGATGTTTGGATATAAATTTCAACTATCGGTAAAATAATATAAAAATAACGGTTCGACTATTTAAAACTATTTAAAGGTGCTTGGACACAGATTTGAAGTTAATATTTTCTCAAATTTTCTGTAGAATTTCATGACTTATATGTTGTTATAGCATTTCATACTAAAATATAATAAAAATCTTATTTCATCTCGAAGTTATTAAAACTTCAAATTTCTGGACGCGTTGGATTGACACCTCCTTGCGTTTTCACATATTTTAATTTTATTCTTAATACTTAAGAAAAGTGGCAATTTTGTTGTGTATTAATGAAAAATATTAAAACTATAACCCAGAATATTCAGAGTAGAAATGTTCGAATTCAAAGCAAAACCCACTCACAGTATTGTAAGTCCGTGCTCAGTGGTGTGTGCAGAGTTTAACAATTGAACACACCCGGTGTATCGTAAACATTAACAATAACAGAGCTCGTGCCCTGTTTACAAAAACAGTTAACGTTTCACGGGTGTGTTCAATTTGTTAAACTCTATACACATCACGGAGCACGGACTGAAAATACTGGTGAGTTGGTTTTGCTTTCGAACATTTTTACTCTGAATTTTCTGGATTATAGATGTAACATTTTTCATTAATACATAACAAAATCGCTTCTTTTCTTAAATATTAAGGATAAAGTTAAAATTTGTGCAAGTGCAAAGATGTGTTAATCAAACGCGTCCCGGAATTCGTAGTTCCAATAATTTCCAGATAAAATAAGTTTTTGATTATATTTTCGTGTGAAATGCTATTGGAATATATAAGTCGTGATATTATACAGAAAATTTGAGAAAATATTAAGTTCAAATCTGTGTCTGAGCACCTTTAAATGTCAATGTCTTTCAATATATGTGTGTTATATGAATTTAAAAAAGGAAACATATGTAACAATTATTTCAGGCATTTTATTTCTTCCATATTGAATATCTGTAGAACTTTCATTCTAGAAAGAAAATACATATATGTTCACATCATTACAATAATAATTTAAGAAAAATAAAAATGCAAAATAACTTAAAAGATTTGGAAATACAGGTAAAATTTACCAGATCGCACGTTCAGTGCGTGTTGGGATGGCAGTGACAGAGATGATGGTCGCACGTGGCGTGATGATTGGGCTCACACGTGCAGTCGTAAGGGTGATTACACTCGTGAGTACTGTGATGACAGTAACACTTTCCATGGTGACAGTGAGGAAAAAGATCAGTGGCACATGTGCAGTCAGCATCTGTCACACAAGGATCCTTGGACAAGGCTCCCACTGAAAATTACAGTAAAATGACAAAATGAGCATTTTAGTCTCTCTCTCTCTCTCTCTCTCTCTCTCTCTAGGCAATCAGAAGTTAGAAGGTACCGATATATAAATATATAGTGAGAGATCATTTTAGAGAGATCGATTATAGAAATAGAGAGATCATTTGATATCCAAATGATCATACCAGTAACGTTAAGTACTCGTTATTAAAAGAATCCCATCATGTGAATCGACAAGACAGTACCAGAGATGTTAAAGGCTAAGAGTTTGAAAAAAATTTGAAAACTACCTTTTTCTTTAAAACCTACCTAACGTAAAACAGAGAAACCACAAAGCAAGCACTTTCCTCATGGTTACGTGCAATAAGGTAAAATGAACTGACAGGAAGAATACAGCTGTGCACGTACTAGCAGAGATAAGATAAACATATTTTCGAAGCCTAACCTTGAAGACTTTCTTATGTTGTCTTTCACGTTGCAAACAAATTAATCCTAGGTAATTAAGTAACCACATTATTTTTAATCGAAAAGAAAATGATAAGAGATGAACAATTATTTATATTAAAGGATGACTTTGCATATACATTGCTAAGATATTATAAAGATGAAGACAATTATAGTTATTTTTACCTTAAATGTGAAAAATAGAATGGAGTTTAAGTCGCACATATGAAATGTCAACAAATACATCAACTACTTCAACTAAAATTTCTTTAATTTTATAATTTTAATATATGAAAAAATTGCACAAAAGATCATAGATTTCCTTTAATTAAAACAAATATTTCAGTTCCTTAACCGGATATGACTATGTATCCGATCAATTTATGTAAAGGAGAACGAACAGTGAATCTCATCTATTCCGCAGTACATACATTTTATTAAAAGAATGGGGGCGTACAAGGCGAGGACAATCCATCCGCTCTGAGAAGATATTTTCAATTTGAAAGTTCGTAGAAAAGTTATGTTTTCCAAAATCTGTTTTGCCAGATTCATTTTTTTTCCAATTGACCCCTTCTTAACATTGGAGTGTGTCAGTGTGTTATAAATGAGAATGAGTTTGTTAAAGCATATAATTATTTCCCACAAATTATCGATTATCAAATAGAATGGGTTGAGGTGCCCAGGAGGAGTAAGCATTCCCTGTCGACTGATCACATAAATTGGATCAGATTTCGTGTAAGCGTAATACGAATATTAGTTTCAGAGAAAAATGGAAGAGAATTGCTGATTAGCTAATATCTTAGTCTTTTTAGATCACCTGAGTCATTTAGATGACCTATCTGTTTTCGTCCGTTGTCGTGCGTCGTCCGTTATCAAATGAATATTTTCAGCTTCTTCTCTGGAACCGCTGAACAAATTCCAACCAGTTTTTGCATACAGCATATATATGATTAAAGGGGAAGAAAACTGTGAATTTAATGGTCACCCTCCTTCCCGGGGCCTGAGGGATGGGGCTAAAACCATAGCAATTAGTGCTTTAAAAATCTTCTTGACTCTTGAACTATTGACATGATTGTAATAAGCACTGGTTCCTCAATCAAAATTGTGAAATTCATGGCTCCAAGGCCAGGGGTTCTTGTGCTAGGGCGGGGCTATATAGATCATATAGTAAAAGTGCATTATTTCTTTGAAGATCTTCTCTGCTCCTGCGTACTAAACACACTAACTAAGTACACAGTTATGATGAACAAGCGTGCTTCTTCCAAAAGTGTGAAATTCATGGTCTTTGGTCCAGGGTTTCTAGTGTTTGACTTGGCTTTATCAATTATTTTTGTAAAAATGCATTAATTCTCTGAAAATAATTTTCTCTGCTCCTGGGTATTATTTAGACAAACTAAGTGCATGTTTTTGATAAGCAAGGATACCTCTTCCAAAATTCTGAAATTTATGGCCCTAGGGTCGGGGGTTCTGGTGAAAGGGTGGAACTCTATTGAAAAGATAGTGAAAATGCATTAATTCTATTAAATAATCCTGTCTTCTCCTTGGTGTTCAGCAGTTCCACAAAGTGCATAGTTATGGTGCACAAGGGTGCTTCTTACAAATTTTTTTTAAAACTTGTGGTCCCAGGATCAGGGCTCTGGTGTTTTCCGGGGTGGGGAGGGAGGGGAGCTCTATTGATTCAAACTGCGCATCTGTTGATGTTGTTTTTATTTGTTAAGAGTTCACACTCAGTAACAACTGTTTTTTTTTTTAAAACAACTAGTGTTGTTTCACAGTATTGTGATCGTTATGAAGATCTTAACAGCATTTAAGAAAAAGACCTTCTAAAACTTCTTCTTTAATAGAACAATTACAATATCTCTATACGATTCACTTGGATTATCTCTTCAAAATAAAATCAACTTTCTGATTGTGTGTTTAATATTCATTTTATACAGATTGTTTTCTGATAGGTACATGTAGCTTGGAGTAGCAGATATGTCTTTCTAAAGCAGAAAATGCAAACAAAAACACAAACAAAATATAGTTTTCGAAAATATAAGCAGAATCTCAGTGTTTACCAAATAACAATTTAAATGAAATGATTGTATTGAGTGAAATTGTTTAATCTAAGTTATCACTTCATCAGCATCGACTTGTTTTTTTAAAAATTTTTTTAATTATTAAATAGCTTTTAATGTTTCTTATACTGATTTGACAAACCTATCCCTGTCCAATTTTGTTATAAACACCAAAATTAAAATCCTAATAAGTCAAACTTTGTTTGTGATGCAATCTTAGATATGATTAATCGTAATTTTATTGAATTTATCTCTAAGGTAAAGTAAACATCTGCTTAAGAGAAAGACACAATTATGGACGTGAAAGACGTGAAAGACAATCATCGCAATCTATTCATGATAAGAAAAGTACTAGAACGTTCAAGAACGCAAGCCCAACACAAGGATACATGAACATAGCGCCCTAACTTTGAATATTTGAAATATTTAGCATGCTGCATAGAGTAAATTTAAGGGGGAAAATAAAGGGAACATACAAAAAATAAATTTATAACAGTTAATTTACTTTTTCGATTTTTCGATAATTTATGTAAACTCATCTGATATTTGCATAATTTATTTGTTGCAATGAAAACACTTTCAAATAGTTATTCAACTTGTATGTAGATTTACGTGGATCTGTGATTATGAATATTGCAAATCATAGGCTATTTAAACCGTCACGTTGAGCGTAAGAAAATACTTAAACAACCCGTTGGTTTCAAAATGAATTAAACTTACCATACATATACTGGATTCCAAAACTCCATAAAAATCCTTACAACAATGATACATGGCGGGTTCCAGTAAATCTTATTCCAAGCCTCTTTCTTAACTCCTACTAAAATATTTACAGCAGTGAAGGAGAAACTTCAGGTGTGCATTTCAAAAGTATACTAGTATTCGAGAAGTGGTGTAAATCAGATTTGCATACTTAAAAACTCCAAGGTACTTTGAGAAAATTTGAAATCACAAAATTTTATTAAAATCAATAACATCAAAACGTACAGCTTTCCAACACTATATACAACCATTTCCCACGATAAATTTTAATCCAGTCTTTTTGACATCTGCTTTTTCAATAAAAATGAAAAAATCGGAAATATGCTTACCTTGTCATTGGTCATTTGCAAAATTATTTTATTAAAAACATTCTGATTGTACATATCAGTACTCTGAAATTGATATTAAAAAGATGCCAGAATTTCTGATTGACAATGTCTATGTTGTTTTTGAAGATTATGTTGGAATTACCATGGTACCAATTGGCCCCCCTTATTAGCAGACCTATTTTTGTATTCATATGAAGCAGAATTTATTAAAAATTTGAACACGAGAAGAAAACACTTGCTGTGACCTCCAACTCTACATTTAGTCATATCGACGACGTATTATCGATTAAGGGGGACCGACCCTTTAATAAGAGAGATAACTTTCCAAGTAAAAAATACTAATATTACTTACAGTTTACTTTATCAGAGTTAAATTATCGAGACTTTTGAGTAGTCAATTCGATCAAACCTAACATATGATGGAAACATTACCTTCTATTTCCTTTGTCTATATTTTTCAAGTTTGATTATATCTGACAAAAACATTTAAATCCAGGTTTAAAATCCTTACAAATTGAATAAGTTCTATCTTTTTAAGGATCATTTAAATAAAAAAGGGTTTAATGTATCAAGTAGCAAGTGTCGAATTTTTCTTAGTATTACATTTTTTCCAGTGAAAAAATATAAGAAATATAACTCTTGCTAACAGATGTATTGTTTTCTTACATCCATAACATTGTGATATTCTGAGTTAGGAAGCAGAGCTTTACTATGTTTTCTAATATGAATTTAGTAGGTATGTCACTAAATATTATTTTCATACTGCATACACTGCATATTTTTAATTTTACGTTGTGATAATAAATTATTACCATATTATTGTTAATGAATTATTACCCTATTCTTGCCCTATTACTGTATGTACCTTCTGTTGTTGCTTGTCCTCCGGGTTTGTCTATCGTAAACTTTTGAAAATCTCACCTCTTTTTTTCAAGCATCGAAAAAAATGTCAATAAAGTTTGATTAATAGTTTCTATATATAAACAGAATACTTTTGGTCACAATCCCCCACGGCAGTTCGATCAACACATTAATTCTAGTACAATCTTCAGTATTAATTTTTTTACGGTTAAAGCCAAAAGATTTCCCAAATTCGATATGTAAAATGACCTTGATTGCAAATACAATCTATCGTTAGGTCGAATGTTGACTGACGTCTTTTATGTAAATTGTTCTAGTTCATTATTTTCACACTGATTTATCTAAAGATTTTTTCGTTGAACCGATCATGACTAAGGGCACATGGCATGTGTTACATGTTGACAGGAGATACTCACTCCTCTAAGGCACTTGATCCTACCTCTCTTTTAGATGTCCGTGTTTGCTATGCTCACAATTGGACTTTTGAGCACAATTACTGCTAGTTATCTTCACATTTCATTTTCCAAAATTAGGTAACTCATTTTTCTTGAAGGGTTTTTAACAAAAAATTAAAAGTTCTTAAAATGAAAGACAATTATATCTTTGAAACACATTATTATCGTTTTATTATCGAATAACCTTGAAAATAGTTTACTTAGGTGTTAAAACGTATATTGTCATCGAAGTAAAAATCTCCACTAATTAGACAGGGGTCAAAGTAGAGTGTTGATTGATTAGTGTTGTGTCTATGTGTATTTTACATTCTTCTACAAAGTCGTGGTGATTCTTACACTTCTTAGATTTACAGACTTTTAAACTTCAGATCTTGGAACAGGAGAAATGAATCTTTTTAAAAGTCTCTTTACAATGGAGTTTGGCGACTTGGTAATATAATGTTTCATTGCTAGAAGGAAATCCTATAGTAAGTGTACTGGTAGACTGCTCTAAA